GGGGCCGCTTTTTGGCCGGCTGCAGCGCGGCGAAGCCGGCGATGGGGAAAGAAAGGAAGAGAGAGGCCGGGGCGAGATCTTTGCCTCCGGACGTGGCCTTTTCCGACGGCCTACCGGGGCCCGGGTCGCTAGCCACTGACATGACCCCCCCCCCCCCCCCCCCCCCCCCCCCCCCCCCCCCCCCCCCCCCGGTCCCTGTGGGCTTTGCTCCCTCTTTTTTTTTTCCCCCCCCCCCCCCCCCCTTGATGCGCCGTACGTGTTGTTGTGTATGCCGATGATGCGTGCCGTGTCGATCGCCCGCGAACCAGGGGGCCATCCTGACGGTGAGACCCCCTCACCGGCCGACCACCGGGCTCCGTCTGGCGCGCCCGGACGGCCCGGCGAGACGCAGGGCGTTTTTTCGCCCCCCCTCCGGGATCACTGGCGGAGGCCTTTTCCAAGCCCTACACCTGCCCTTGCTCCCCCTTCCCCCCCCCCCCATTCCCCCTCTCCCCCTCTCCCCCTCTCCCCCTCTCCCCTCCCCGTGTAGCCATGTCCCCGATCGTCACCGTCGAGGAGGCCAAGCGCCTGGCGGCCCGCGCGGCCGTCGACCAGTTCATCGAGTCGGACACCATTGTCGGCATCGGCTCCGGCTCCACCATCGTCTATGTGGTGGAGTACCTGCGGGAGCTGCTGGATGCCGGGACCCTGCGCAACTTGCGCCTGGTGCCGACCTCCTTCCAGTCGCGGCAGCTCATCCTGGACGCCCAGCTGAACCTGCTGGACCTGGACCACCCGGGGCTCTTTGCCAAGGCCACCGGGCCGAAGGTCATCGACGTGACCATCGACGGGGCCGATGAAATCGCCCTGCCCTGCCTGTCGCTGATCAAGGGCGGCGGCGGGTGCCACACGCAGGAGCTCATGGTGGCCAGCATCTCCAAGCGCCTGGTCATCGTGGCCGACCAGTCCAAGGTGACCGAGGCCCTGAACACCGTCTACCTGAAGGGCATCCCGGTGGAGGTGGTCCCGGCGGCCCGGCTGCTGGTCGAGCGCCACATCCATGCGGCCCTGGAGGCCAAGCTGCCCGAGCTGCAGGTGGCCCTGCGCCAGTGCGGCCATGGCAAGGCCGGCCCGGTGGTCACCGACAACGGGTGCTTCATTCTGGATCTGCTCCCGGGGCAGCAGATCCCCGGCGCCCTGCTGCCGGAGATCCAGTCCACTCTGACGGCCATTCCCGGGGTGACAAGCTGCGGACTCTTCCTGGGGATGGCCAGCGCGGCGCTGGTGTGCTCGTCCGATGGGATTGTGACGTGCCACACTCGGCCGACCGAGGACTAGTGTGTGGGCGCGGTGACGGGAGGGGGGG